GTTTAAACATATAACATCTATTTAAGAAGAAATTAAATCATTTTCTTGAAAGTAATCTCTTTATTGTTGAATAGGTTTTTTTTTTCTAAGTTCAATGTTCTGGTGTGTTCAGAGGAGGGATATGACCGTGGCTAATTTATTTAGTTGGAGTTTGGTGTATAGTGGTGTTTTGTGGGTTAGTGTCTAATGGAAATGGTGGATCACCAATATATAATAATATTTTATTAGAATAGTATTAGTAGTCTTTTGATTTAATAGATAAGTGAATTATTTTGGTGAGTTAGTAAGTTGGAATTATTAGATTAGGCTAGAAATATAATAATTCGCGTTCGATTTATGAATGAATTAAGCATGTGATTTTTTTTTATTTTTTTTTTTATTTTTTTTACATAATAAATACATTCGATTTGTTTATTAACTAAATTTTTTATTAATTCAAAACCTTAAAATGCTAGCTACTCGCTAGAAAATACGATAAAGTGATTATGGATCTTGCACCGTATCATATGTGACTAATTAAGATGTTTAAATACATATTATACAGAACTTTGAACAGTGAGGTACATGCATGTCAATATACTAAGTATCAGTCGTGATCAGTAGTCCAAATTCGAATGGACTAATTAATTAATAAACAAATTATATAGGTTGAATGATATGTTGACTAATTAATTCAGAGGCTTGAAAGGCATACCATAAATAACAAACAACTACTTTAAATTTGTATGATAATATAAGTTTTCTTCTCTCCCTAATTACACTTATCTCTGTTATTAAATTTGGATGATAATTTCGGGGAAGTTTCTGTAAATATAAGCACTGTCTACGCACATGATTTACTTAGGGCCTAACACAACCTACCTTGGTTGCACATTTGAAATACAGAGCTTTCTACACCGACAATTTATTTATGAATTTCTCACACACATGCATGCATGTAGAGTAGGATTTTAGGGGCGTAGATAGAAAATATTTTAGCCTGAGACTACATATTATTCTAGTTATTATTGGAAACGATTAGACATGGTCATGGGCAGGTCCAGCCTGCAAATTCGGCCCGGTTCATGTTTAATACTTTATAGTTTATACATTGTGAATCGACTGTTTCGGTTTCGAATCGGAACTGAAACCTGGGGTTCGGCATTCTTTAAAAAAAATATATTATTTTTTAATTATTTTTTATTTTTTTAATGAACTGGGCGGCCAAGAACAGACAGTTCAATAAACTTTGCCCGTGCATATGTTCGTTCCGGTTCAGGGCCCTCCAACCCCTGGTTTGGGACCGACGGTTTCGACCTGGGACCGACATTGATCATGACTAGAACTGAATTATCTGTTAACATATTTCGGTTTGACTTGTGAAAACTCAATCTCGACTCGGTTATACCCCAATTCAAATAGGTAATCAAAATTGTCGATATGCAATCAACTCTATAAGAATTTTTTATCCCTTCCCACCACAGACAGATTCTTTGTTCTCCTGAGTTTTTTCTCACAACGCACACACACTAGACACATAGGCTTCTTCATTTCTTGTCAGATCCTGTATTTCATTTGGACAGAGAGGTAGTGCGAAGCATAGGGCTATTTCTTTCACGAGTTCCCATATTGTTTTGCAGGTAGATCGACATATCTCCCTCCTCACAGCTCTAGGCAGACTAACGCCTTTAGATTGGACAAGTTGCACACCGTCTCCCGATTTCTTGCCGCCTCCACCGCCGCCTATCCAGCACCCACGACCTAGAGCCGTTGTTAGGCTGAGACTCGACCCACCTTGGGCTAAGCTGAATATCGATGGATCCTTCGATCGACTCATAGGAGCCTTCGGAGGGGGAGGTTTCATCAGGGATCATACTAGAGCTCTCATCTAAACATTCCATGCCCATCTTCGGGCCTTTTCGAGTTATGATGCGGAGATTCAGGCGCTCTAAATCGGTCTCCAAGCTGCTACATCTATCTCCTCTCTCGTCTAGATTGAGCTGGATGCCGCCACTGTCGTCACCCTCCTGACCTCGGGCCATCAGGGCTCGTGGCAGATACAAAACCCACTAAATGCGTATCTAAGCATACACTCATTCAGTTCATTACCGAATCTCGCATATCTTTCGAGAGGTGGATCGCCCCGTTGATTTCCTCGCTAGCATCGGCGCCTCCACCTCTCAGAGGGGAATTTTTGGACCTGATGATGTCCCCCTTCGCCATCGTTCCCTTGTACGGATGGACCAGGACGACTAATCCTCCTTCAGATTCTGGTAGCCTTTTGTTTGTTTGACTTTTTAGTTTAGTATCTTGTTAGATTATTTTGTGTTATTGCATTGTGGCTCAGACTGTTGCTTGGGAACATGTTAGCCCAGTTTGTTTTAGATTTTTGTCTTCCGCAGCTTGATTTCCTTTCTTTCTTTTTATTTTCCTTTCTCTCCTTCGTCTGGATTGTTTGCCTTGCGTTTGTCGTATGATCTTGTAGACTTGTGACTTTCCAGCCCAACTTGGGCATGCTTATATTCAGGTCGGGGGTCCAACCTTAACCCCTACCCTTTTGGGGTGCTCCTTAAAAAAAATAAATAAAACTCTATAAGAGTTTTTTTTCTTGGTTTAGGAAATGAGGCCAAATAAATTATTGAAGGCGAAATCAACAAAAAAAACAAATGGTGCAATGAGACGAGCCCAATTAAATTGCCGACAGGAGAAGCGTGTGTCAATCTTAATTATCCAGCTCGTTTGGTACTTGTCAAGTCAGTATCCATTACAAATTCAAAAGACAAAAAGTGTGTTGGGTCACATTATAAACCAAATTGATAAAAATCTAGTAAAAGCTAAATTATCATTCCACGATAAATGATTCACTTTTTCCTCTCACTACGATAATCACTTTACCACCATTATTGTCAGATAGACAAATTCAACCTGAATCTTGAGGTATCCAGCTAGAAATTAGATAGAGCTAAATAAAAAATTACATGGAGCTATGATGACACGTATTCGACAACATGAGCAAGAGACTTTTGTCTTTGGACGGTGGGAACTGATTAAAGGTGGTAACCCTTTTCACACTAGCTTAGGACCTTGCTCGGCTGATATGAGATCAGTTGAGGAAGACCTTCTTTTAATTTGGAAGACATTTATGCCTCGAGGTCGACTCATTGGTGAATGATGTCTTCGATGTCGGCGTCTTTTCTTTTGACTAGAATATTCTAGGTCATGATCTAGACGCTGGACAGATGATGGCGTCATATTTATTTTAGGGGTCTTTATGTTTTAGTCAGAACAAATTCGTGTATCAACAATGAAGACGACGTTTAAATACTGCGTTTGCATTTAAGTTTGATTTTCGTTAGAAAACATTGAGATAGAATTTCCTATCAAATCTACAAAAATAAAACTATTGAGATCATAAATTGTATAGTATATATTTACTCCAAATTAAAATAAACATAATTAGATGATATCATGATACTATATGGAAAATGTACTATTTGAAATAAATGTTTATATATAGATATAGTTCCCCAATGCTAGGAATAAACCATACAAGTGCTATTATAAACTTGGGTCTTGTGTTTCTTATCGTATACATTGCTCAGAAGCACCAAACACTGGGCTTTGTAGTGAAATTTGGAAACAAAAAGCCCCCAAACAACACGGAAGCTTGATCTGAAGCCCACCCTAACCACCAAAGGCACACCCTCACCGGATTGCAGCAGGTCTTGCATGTTTCTGCCTGCTCCGTACAACGGCTTATTCTTTGTCCCAATATTTAATCTGAACAATGTTATATCATTACTTCCAGCATACAGTTCTTTGCTCTGCATTTCAAAAGAAAACAAATATTATATCTACTCAATTTAATAATTACTTGTTAGAAAATTTCAAATCAACATACAAAATTACGGGGAGATGTTGTACGGTCTCGTTACGGAACCGTTCCGTCGGGGTTTGTAACCGTTGGATCAACTATCCACGACGACTACATGACGATCTAACGGATACAAACCTTAACGGAATGGTTCCGTAAGAGGACCGTAACATTTCTCCGAGATGTTGGCAAAGAAAATGAAAATATGTTAGTTTGACCTGTGAGATTGCAAAAGGTAGATGGCCAAATAATATTTCCACAAGAGGAGGATGGATGTGAAGGGCAAAGAGCTTGGAATTGTTATCAACAATCAGGTGTATGGAGCAATTGCAGGTTAATAATTTGGTGGTGACGCCTGATCCATCAACTCCCTCACCTAATCTGAATTGTCGTATGCCAACTATCTGCCAAATTTAATCAAAACTCAAATCATATCATATGAATGAATAAAGCAAATTGGGTGAAAGTTGGTTTTTATGTAATCTCCTCTATATTATATATTAATTCGAAACGTCACGAGCATAAATGGCATGCTCGCGCGCTTCGGAATCCTACCTGTAACAATATGATGCTTTTGTATTTAGGTTCAGGTAAAAAAATTGGAAACAAAATTGGCTTGGAAAGTGTCATAAATAATTTTTACACCATACATTATTATATCTGTTTCATTACCAAATTTGTTTTGAATTTAAAGATAATGCAAATATTTCTTTCTTTATTTCATTTTTTTCATTTTAATTTATTTGACTGAGAATCAATGCCGAGTTAACAATTTTTATTATTTATTAATTGAATTAATAATGTTTTATTTGATAATTAATTTTTTTATTGTAGTCTTTTTTTATATATATAATTGAGTTAACTAATAACATATCTACATTAACTTTTTTTATATTATTTTATTTATTTTATAATTAAGTTAATAATGTTTCCAAATATTTGGAGAATATCTGGTAACAAATTTTTTCACTCCAAAATCTTAACACCATATTTTAACTAGATTTCTTCCATTTATTTATTTTGTATACACTACAATACTAAAATATTTACTTTTGTTTTTTGTTCATATTATTTTTTCATCACGCGTTTAGTACACGAGTGTCGTATTAGTTTGATATTAAAGCACTTACGCGAGAGATGGCAAAAGGCATAGACCAGTGGAGATTTAGAAAATAACTACGGTGGTATCGGATTTTGTACAACCTTGAACCATAATTGTACAAATACACATAGATTTATCAAAAAAAAAAATCTCGACTCAAAATATATCTCACAACTTTAAGTAAAAAATGTCATTAGAACACTGAATATTCATATCTAAAATTATTAACCCGTACTTTGTTGGAAATTATTGACATATAGTTAAAACAATGAAATAGTCGATCCCTGTAAGAAAATAATGTTAAAATTCCAACGAAAATATATTTTAATAGTAAAACGAGATGACAAAACAATAATTCTATTGGCATTTCTATCGGGCCTGAAAAAAGGGAGCCCGCCTTGGCCCGTTTTATCGGTTCTACTAGTCCTATGTAGTGATATCAAGGCCCATCCTTCTTGGGCTGAAATTGTGGGTTTCTTTTCTCTGACATCTAAATATCAAGAAATAAAAACACCCTATATCCTTTTAAATAGATTGTTTACATAAAGAGATTTGCTTATAATTAAGCCAAAAACACCTTTTCTATTTTCATTTTTACTCCAAGTAGCGGTTTTAGTATTTATTTTTTATTTTATTTTATTTTTTTGTTCTTATTTCTCTCTCTTAAATGAACGTGTCTAACCTATCTTCTTGGTTCCTTCTTTCCAGTTTCATTCTTTTTTATCTCCATCATAAATCAAATTCAATTCTCTATTTCTGAAAAATGAATTCCAAACAATTCTATCCCCAAAAAATTCAATCATAGATGGTGATCGATGGACTATTCCATCCCAACACTTTCTTCGTCTCCGACGCCGTCGGGTGTACCGTTAAAAGAGTGTTCCGAAATAGAAGAAGATGAATCCATCTCAAGTTCCAGCAAAATTCAACGACGGCAAGAGAACTAAAGAGAGAAAACACCCGTAAAAAAACCCCTTTTCAGGCTTGCCAATGACGGCACGAAGCCACAATCACAAGACCTTGTAAAATCAATCACCCAATTATTTTTTTTTTTCTTTTTTTGTGTTTCATCAATTAAATCTTTATTTTTTTTCATTTGTTTTTCTCCTTTAATTTGTGGGTTTTAATGGTTTTCAGTTATCATGATTGGATTTAAGATAGAGGAAACTGTCCTTCGCCTACCTCCATTACTTTTATTCTTTTTTTTTGGGTGTTTTTTTATACAATTAGTTTTT